GGGGGTGTGATGTCGTCCTGCTGAGGAGCCAGGGCTCCTGTGGGCCAGCAGAGTCCTGGGCCAGGGCAGCCACGGGCCTGCTTCCTGCAGCACCCACTCCTGAGCCTGGGCTCCCGGGGGGTGTGATGTCGTCCTGCTGAGGAGCCAGGGCTCCTGTGGGCCAGCACGGGAGGCTGCTCTGGGCACCAGGGGCAGCTTTCCTGAAGGGCTCGTGTCCGTTCTCTGGCTGTAGACTCTGGGGACGGCATGTCACGGGGAAGCGGTGCTTTTCCACCTGGTTTTGCCCTTGGCTTTCCCACGGCCACGTGTGGGGGTTTCCCTGGCCTCACTTTCTCACTCGGGTTTCTTTGGCGACTGCCTCTTAGTGTGAGAGGACACCTTGTCGCAGTTTCACTTTCATGCCCTGATGACCAGTGAGCATCCTTGAAGATGTGGTCCAGGGGTCTCTCGGTGGCAGGGGTTTTACAGCCTGAACTGGAGATGATGCGAAGGTCACACCGCCAAGTCAGAAGGCGTGGGGGTGGAGGTGGGGGTGGGAGTGTGGGGGCCTGGGGTCTGCTCAGTGGTAGAGCACGTGCCTAGCATGTGTGAGGCACTGGATCTGATTTTCCACACTGTGTATAAATAAATGAATAAAACAAGGGTCTGTCAACATCTAAAGAATATTTTTAAAAAGAAAAGAAAGAAGAGGGCCCAGTCTCAGGAAGCAGGGGCGTGGTTTCCCAGATGCCTTCTGGAGGTCCACGAGCTCAGCAGATGGCCTGGAGGGTCTGCGCAGACCCCTGGGTCCGCGATTGACCTCTGGGCTCCTGCAGTCCCTGGTTAACAAGGGCTCTGGGTGGAAGCTGCCGGTCGTGGTCAGGGAGGACAGATGTGAGGGGTGGGGTTGATTAGAGCCACAGGGAGAGAGCAAGGCTCCTGCAGGGCAGGTCTGTAGACCTGTAGAGAGGGGCCCTGGAGGGTGCCGTGGGCCAGGGGAGCTGGCCCCCAGCCCAGCCCTGCTGAGGCACTCGGTGTCCACCTGCCTGCACGCGCTCTTGGTCCACTCAGGCCTCCATGCCCCCCTTTGACTCGTGGGGGTCGGCCTGAGCTTGGGGAGGCCTGGCCCAAGTCTGGTTTCCAGCCCTGCTGCACAGACGTGCCCTGGGGGCCAGCTCCCTGCCGGCCCACTTGAACCCTGTCTCCCACCTGGGGTGCCCGTGAGCACTTCCGTGAGCGGTGCTGCTGTCGCTGTGGCAGAGCACTGGTGAGCTTCCTGGTGTGTGCCCAGGGGTCAGATGGAAGGCAAGGCTGCCGCCAACATCTGCTTTGGGGATGGCTGGGGCCCGTGCCTCCGAGGAGGCAGACTGCCCACTGCACAGAGGTGCAGCCAAGGGGCCTCTGCTGGGAGTGCTGGCAGCCACTCTCCCTGCAGGTGACATGAGCTGCTGCTTGTCTGGCCTCAGCACAGGGAGCCCAGTGCTCTCGGGCTCTGTTCTGTGTTTCTGGGGATCTGAACACCAGCACTTCCTTTTATTTAGCTTTACTATTTTGTTAAAATGCGCATACAGGCTCCTGCTTTTGCATTTTATGGGTTTGTTTGGTGTTTTGCTTTTGGAAGGTTAGCGTTCTGATCTCATTGGGCTTTTGGTGTGATTCCTTTTGCTCCCTTGCAGTCATTACTCAAAGGAGAATTTTTTTGTTGATTTGAGTAACGACTGTCACTCCTGTTGGCGGAGCATCTTGGGCATGTGGATTCAGTCTTTCACCAGACTTAGGGTGTTTTCAGCCATGACTTCTCCGGTCTTCCCACGCTGTTCTCCCTCTCCTTCTGGGCTCCAGTCGCGTGTGCATCGGATGCCCGAGGCTCCCTCAGGCCTGGTGGGTTCTGCTCATTCTCCTCTACCCCTTCTTTCTGTCCTTCTCAGACTGGGTGACTTCTGGGGCCCGATCCTCACCTTCTCTGCTCGCTCCTGAGCCAGCGTCCACCTGGCTGTGATGCCCCTCTGGGGGTCCTTCACTGTAACTGACCTTTCAGTTGTGTGGTTCTGTCAGTCTCTCTCTCTGACTCTCATCATGATCCATCTTCCGTGCTTGTTTTGGGTTCTTTGGTTTCTGGTAGTGCTTGGAGCACACTTAAGGCAGTTGGCGGAAAGTCTTATGGTAGTCCAAAGTCTGGCCATCCTCACGGATTCTTTGTTAGTTTTTTTTCTCCCCTGTAGACAAATGGGCATACTCTTCTGTTTCTGTGGATGCCTTATGGTATTTCTGTTTTAGTTGGAAACAGATCTGAGTATTATGATACAGAAACTCTCGAGTCCTGAGAATCCTCTTCCTGAGGCGGTTGCTGGTGGCGTACTGAGGCTGCAGTTGTCTGTCACCTGGGTGGCTTTTCAAGACTGTTGTGGCAGTCACATTGTGTTGTGCTGTTTGGTTACTGAAATCTCTTCTGTGTCTCAAGAACAAACACCAGAGAGCTGTCCTTCAGCTGAAATGTAATGGCCTAATTCTTTCTTCCTTTTTTTGGTGGTGGGGGGCACCAGGGATGGAACTCAGGGACACTCAATCACTGAGCCACATCCCAGCCCTATTTTGTAATTTTTTAATTTAGAGACAGGGTCTCACTGAGTTGCTTAGTGCCTGTCTTTTGCTGAGGCTGGCTTTGAACTCGCTCACAGTCCTCCTGCCTCAGTCTCCCAAGCCACTGGGATGACAGGCGTGCACCACCACGCCTGGCCTACTTATTTCTCAATAGGTCCTAAAATCTGAGAGGTAGAATACCAAGAGGACTTCCGCCTCTGCGCAGACGGGCTCAGAGGCCTTGGTGCCTGGCCTAGTGCTGGTCTGCAGCCGTCGTCTTTTCTTCTGTAAGTAATTCTAGAAGTTGGTACATCCAGTTCTCTATGATTTTATTCAGTTACAAGCACCGTGCCACTCCTAAGTACATGCAGGGCAGCTAGTTCTCCAGCTTCATGTCTGCCGCCTGCATTAAAACCCAGGGCAGTTTTCTCTCACAGTTTCCTCCTTTTTTCTGTGAATTCATTTTCACTACTTTCCTGGAGAATTTTTTCCTGATACAGAAAACTCTACTCAGGAATATTTAATTGACTCCTTGTCATGTGTCTCCCAAAGCAAAATTTTTAGTGGAGATTTTGAGATGTTTTTTATCACAAAGGAAGAGTTTTTCTAGACTGAGTCTTAAAAAATTATCAGTATGGAACTTCACGTGGAACTCCACTATCAAACCCGACTTTTGTGTCTTTTTAAAAAATTAGTGAAAACAATTGGAAAAATCATTAATTCGAGTCAAGCTGAAAGATACTTTGCTAATGTGCAGCTAGGGCCAGTGATGTTAGTTCAGGGTGTCCCTGGCAAGGCGTGGTCCTCCAGAATCGGGCAGGGTTTTGCATGAACCCTACTTTCCTCTGTCTGAGCTTGCAGTGTCAGGGGGCCTCGTTCCCTCAGTCGACAGCTGGGAGCGTCGGCAGCTTTAAGAGCTGCAGTGCTCCTGGTGTGGTCTTCTCCCCGTGCGCCACGGGAGCCCACGCTGCCCCCAGCAGTGTGGTGGGCCTCGGGGCTCTTGTGGAGGGCCCCTGGTACCCACGCCCGGGTTCAGGAGCAGGCCGGCATGAGGGGGAGCCGTGTGGTGTGGGGACAGGGCAGGGAGGGAGCCCTGGCCCAGCTCCAGCCTCTGGGGCCCAGGACCCGGGATGGTCCTGAGGAGCCCCCAGGGCAGGCAGTGGCCACTGGTTTCTTCACAAGCACACGCCACGCACACCCCCACTCGCTGCCTGCTCGGGCTCACCGCTGCCTCAGCCATCCACTCTCTCTTCCCCATCATTGCAAAATACTCCAAAAGGTGCCACAGAATTTCACACGTCCCCATTTTATGTACCCTTAAAGTTCACATGAATTTATTGGGAGTTAGCAACATACAAGTCATTTTAGGGATAGGGAGTGAGACCGAGAGGTCGGGAAGTCGGCATGAGTAGCTCTCGCGCTCACCAGTGTGCCTTTCCCTGATGGAGCAGGCGGCCTCTGTAGATAGCCTCATGTTGGTGAGCCAGCCAGTGGGCGTGTTCTGCAGTGACTGCTGAGGCTAAGTGTCACGGACCAAAATGGCCGTCAGAACCGGGGGCGCGGTCCACTTGCAGAGAAGCAGGCCAAACCTCAGTCTGAGACATTCCTACCACCAGAGACGGAAGGGCCTTGCAGCGGCCTGAAGGGTGGAAAAGAGAGAGCCGCATCTGTGGCAGCCGCCTGGGGAGTGATGGCTCGGCTGGCGGAGAGGGCCCTGGGCCTGGCGGGTCTCAGGACACCCGGGTCCTCTTGCGCAGGGTGAACACCCGCGCGGCCGTGTCACTTGGCTTTGTCTTCTTACTTCCTTGCTGTGGTTTTCCTGTGTCTCTTTGACTTGCCCTCTTTTGTCCTTTGGGTCTGAGGTCACACTGAGTCCCCTGGCTCTCTGTGGAGCTAGGAGTAGGTGCATCTTGGCAGCCTGACTCCTGGGTGGTGGGCTCCCCCTCGCCCACCCTCACGTTTCCCGGGCTGTAGGCTGCCAGCTGACAGAGGGCCACAGCTGCCGTCTGCTTCTGCTCGTCACTGCTGTCCACCACGCGGGAGGCTGGGGCCTTCCCACCTGGGCCCTCCTCCTGCTGGGCCTCAGCACAACTTGAGCCATCTCGGGGACTTCCTCTCCCAGTCCTGGGAGCAGCAGCGGGTTCTGCACTTTGCAGTGGGCTGGGGACGGCAGGCCTTGGAGCCCGGGCATTGCAGGGGTCCTTAACAGAGAGGTTGAGGGGCAAGTCCTGCAGCTCTGTGAAACCTGGGGCCTCTGCCTTGGCACTTCCCGGGTACATGGCTCCACCAGCAGCTGCAGGTCTTGGCTCTGACTTCTTGGAGAGGTTGAGGGGGCCTGTCCTGGAGCCGTCCTCGGGGATGGCGTGTGCGGCCTCGGTGGTGGGAAGAGGGCTTGCTGTCTGAGCTGGAGGGTCTCCATTCCCGGCCTCGAGGCTAGAAGAAGCCAAGAGAAGGCTTAGTGGGCATTTGCTTAGGAAAAGGAGCAGGAAACATTTAATCAGGTTGCACTTGGCTGGCTGAGCACAACCAAGAAGCCTGTGTCAAAGTTGTGAAAGTAAATCTTTTTTTTTTTTTATTTTAATTTTTTTAGTTGTACATGAATACAATACCGTTTATCTAACCCAGTGCCCCACACGTGCCAGGCAAGTGCTCTACCACGGAGCCACGACCCCAGCCCAGAAGTGAAGCTTTCTTACCTGTGTGGAGACTCTGTGCTGTTTGCAGGAACCTGGGAGTGAGGGCAGTCTGTGTTCTTTGGGACGGGTCTGAAGGCTGTGGGGCTCTGTTCGGGCTGCGGGCGCCATCCCAGGGCACTTGGGGACCCTTTGTTGGAGAGGTCACACAGGCCTTCGCAGGCCTGGCTTGTCTGCGTGAAGTTGGTGGGGCTTGGCCTTCCTGGGGAGCCTGTGGCTGCACTGCCTGCCCGGGGGCTCATTTTGGCTCCTTCCAGGTCCCGCTGCCCATCTTTGGAGGGGTCTTTAGCTTCAGGAATCGGACTTTCTTTCTCGAATTCTGTGTGTTTTTTGTGGGAGTTTGAAGGGCTTAACTCGGAGGGACTCGAGGCTGGGTGGGCCAGGGTGGCCTCTTCAAGGAGGCGGGAGCTCTGTTCCCGAGTGATGCCAGCGAGGGGCGGGAGCCTGAGGCTGTAGGAGGAGAAGGCAGACTCTGGTCTGTAGAATCCATAAGGAACCGGCAGACTGGGGTGGAACTGCTGGAGGAATCTGTAGTGGTCGTACGTTGACGGCGACGGGGTCAGGTGCTTGGGGAGGGGCCCCGGGGGAGGCAGGAAGTGTCTCTGGTCTGGGGCCCCGTAGACAGACAGCAGAGTGGTGTCGCACTCGGGGGCGCTCCCGGCCAGCAGGTAGGGGGAGTAGATGGCGGCCAGCCCGTGCTCTGCGTAGAAGGGCGGGGGGTACTCTGGGATCGTGGGATGCACGTAAGGGGAGATGGCACTGAACCCCTTGGTAGGTGGGATTTTATGTGGAAACTCGGGCGGGAGGAACGGGGAGCCTGCTTTCCAAGGGTAGCCAGGAGCGTGGAACGCAGACTTGGTGTGGAAGGCTGTGGCTTTGGTGGTAGGGTTGGTGGATGACAGCGTTTCGGGCCCCTCCGTGTTTTCGGGCCCCTTAAGTCTGTGCTCCCCAACTGGAATGAACGCCGAAGGCCGGGCCAGGTCCAGAGCAGGCTGCGTCCCCCGGGCTGCTTCTGGGGCTTCCTCCTGCTGGAGGCCCGGCTTCTGCGGGAGGGCGTGGGTCCTCCGAGCCTGCAGCTTCAGGCTCTCCTGCACGTCTTCCTTGCCAGAGCCCTGCTGGGGCTTGGGGTCAAAGCCTGGGAGGCCGTCAGTGAGGGGCTGGGGAGAGGCCAGCTGTGCCGTGGGCGCCTGCTGCCGGGGGGGCCTGGGGTCGGGTGCGTGGGCCCGGGGGCACCGGGGGCCGCGGTCCTGCTCAGACACGAGTGTGATGGAGTTCTTGCAGAGGCCGTACTTCATGTGGTTGAAGAGGTGGGACTTCTCGTTGCAGGTGAACGGGCACTGGAAGCACTTGTACTTGAAGGGCTTCCCTGGGGGCCGCGGGATGTAGTGTGGCTTCTTGGGCTTCCTCTCCTTGAGGAGGCTCATGGTGTCTGTCAGACTGAGGTCTGCCACGTGGTGTGGTCACTGCCCGCTCCTCGCTGGTCCAGACACCGGGTCCAGGGAGATGAGCCCCCGTCTCGCCTTGTGGCCGTGTGCCCGTGACCGAGCCAGCTCCACGTGCCGAGGGCCCGGCGAGGAAGGTCTCACACCCGCTGCCCGGAGCTGCAAAGCAGAGCAGAGGCTGGAGTCAGGGGAGGCTGTGGTTGGAAGGTGTCCCCATTCAGGCACTGGGGAGGGTTGGAGCAGAGGCACTGCCGGGAGCGGCAACGCGTCCGCTGCACCTGCAGCCTCTTGTCCTCCACTAGCTCCTGACTGAGAGAGCTGGCTGGGGGTCAGGTGGCAGGCGTGGAGGGTCAGTGTCAGTGCAGAGTGCTGCATTTCTCTGGGAGCCCTTATCCCATGATGGGACCTTCCCTGGAGAGGAGAGGGCTTTGCAGGGGCCAAGCCCCAGCTCCCTTGGTTGTCCCCAGGCGTTGTCACAGGGCCATTTGGCTGCCTGCTTTGCAGTGACCTGTGCCCAGGCTCCCGAAACCTGGTGCTTAACCAGGGAAGTGCAGCCGGTGCCCTTGTGTTACCAGCGCACTGTCACCTGCTCCAGCCTGGCCCTCGTGAGTGGCACTGGGGTGGTCTCACTGCAGACTTAAATGCCATGTTAGGTCCACTCAGGTGGCTTGCCGTGCTGTCAGGGCAAGTCAGCAAGTCCTAGTGACTGCGTGGGTCCACTGCCTGCCTCGTCAGCACTCACACTCACCCTGCTCTTCCCTGGCTGTGCCTGCAGACACAAGCACCAAAGCCACTTATCCCGCACGGTACGAGGAGGCTGCAGCACGTGGCCTGGATCGTGGAGGAGGCTGCTGGCCTTCAGCCCCTGGGAAGTGGGCCTGGCCTCAGCCACGTGGCTCACGCCTGCCCCTTTGCTTCCCCTAGGGTCTTGCGGCGTGTCCCAGCCCTAGGTGTCCTCTAGAGCCACCCTGCACTGTGTGGATGTGCCCCCAGTCCAGAGCTGAGGACAGGGCAGTGCCGGCCTGGGAGGCCTGGAGAAGTGTGTGAGGGACAAGGAGCCCAGACCAGGCACTCCATCGGTACAGGAAACGAGAAAGGAAGGGTCTCCTCCAGTCACCCACAGAGGAGGTGCAGTGGGAATGGTGTGAGAAGCACATTTTCAGCTGTGAAGTGGAGTCGGTGAGACTCGGCCACAGAGCGGCAGCCACTGGGATCTGCATCTGGGAGGTTCCCAGAGAGCTGTCTCTTAACCTACTCATGGTTCCTGGAAGCGTAAAGAACCGCCCAGCGACCCCCACACCTGTTCACTCCGCTGAGCTTTGAGGACGTTTCCTGCTGAGAAGTGGCTGGGTAGGAGAGTGGGCCCTGCTCGTTGGTGAGACCCTCCGTGGGGGAAAGCAGGGAGTGCTGGTGGAGCACAGCCGTGGGACGAGTGTGGAGTGGTGGGCCTGCCCAGTGCCGCTGCTGCAGCCACGCGCACCTGTGCCAGAGCCGAGCAGGGAGTGCGTGACGGCAGCTCTATGGCTTCTCTTTTTCCTTCTTTAGTAAAAGAAGAATCATGAAGGAATCCTTATGGGTTCAGCCTGTACTTTGGGGGGCAGGTCTGGCCTGGGTAACAGAGCAGGGTTTCCTTGCCTCCCAACGGGTGAGGGAGCCTGGGGCCCAATTCCAGCCCTGCGGGCCAGGGAGATAACTCAGCGGGCCTGTGCGGGCACGCTCCGTGCGCTCCCGATTCCGGAGGCGTGAGAACCTCTGCAGGCCCGGTTCCCATGGCTGCCTGGGATGTGTCATGCCCAGCCCTGGGAGCTGATTTCATCACTTGCAGCATCGTGACCAAGGTGATGACAGTTGCAGGCACTTATCAAGTGGGATCCGTGTCCTGCGATACCCAGGGCGGACGTGGACTCCAAACTGCACTGGGAAGGACGGGAGGTCCCTCAGGATGTCAGCAAGCGACAACAGCGTGTCCAAGCAGTTTGGCTCAGTGCTGCAGAGCTTTGGGGCCTCAGAGAAGCACATGGCTGTGGTGGGCTGCCCTCGGGGGTCCCAGGTCCCTCCGTCAGTGAGATTCTGGTCTGAACCACTTGCCTTTCCTTCTCCAGGTACTGGGGACTGGACCCAGCTGCTCATCCCTGAGCCACATCCCCAGCACTTTTTGTTTTCTGTTTGGAGACAGGGCCTCACTAAGCTGCCCAGGCTGGCCTGGAACTTGCCGTCCTCCTGCCGCTTCTCCTGAGCAGCTGCGAGTACAACCCCCGGCCCCCATTTGCCTCTGTTCTCTGGCCACTTAGCTTTCAGGATGGCAGAGGGGCTGGGTGAGCCCGTGTCCTGATGCCGGTGTCTGGGAGGGGAGAGCTGCCGTCCGGGGCTTACTGTTGGTGGGGACCAGCCCAGAGAGGGAGACCCAGGTGGCACTCGGGACTGGGATAAACTGACCTCTTGGTTGCACAATTGCTAATTGAAGCAGGGGCGCTTGGCTGCAGGTGTCAGACAGGCACAGCTACTTGCCTATAAATTGCAGCCGTGCTGGGAGGTAAGTGGGATAAAATGGAAGCTTTTGTAAGCTTTCGGGCGATGATGTCAGCCCGGGAGCGCTCTCTCCTACTCAGAGGTTTATGGGGATGAAGAAGCTAACCTACAGCCGTGACCACTGTCTGCCTCCATGTCTGTGGCAGAGGTTTGAAGTCGTCCCGCCTGGTCAGTTTATGCCTATTGGAGTTTATACTCTCTGGCAGCTGCTGGTGTTAATATTCAAAAAGAGCACATTGTTGCCCAAATAGCAAAGTCCAGAGCCTCACTGTTTACAGTAATGGGGATTTGCATTCCAAGGCAGAGTTTCTAAAGGTGAGGGAGCCTGGGACTGCCTGCTGCTGGGCGGTGCCTCTCCCCTGTTCATCCTGCCTTTGCTGCCCTGCGTCTTTGCCCTGTCTCACACTTGCCGCTGGGGGCGGGCGGGGGCGGGGGGCGGCAGGAGGGCGTCTCCGCAGCCTCCTGGCCTGGGTGCCCTCCCTCTTCTGCCTGCCCCAGTACCGCCCTCTCCAGATTACTTTGGCCATACTGCAGACGGTGTCCACACTAAGGACAGTGGGCACAGTCGCTTGAAAACACTTGGTGTGCAACAAGTGCTTGCACTGAGGGTCCTGCTGTGACCTCAGCACTAAACGGCCAGTGTCCAGCTGCTCGGCTGTGCCACAGAAGGAAGGTCTTGCCCATCAAGTACTTGACTTGGGCAGGCTCCCGAGGGTGGACATTTAGGGTGGCGCTGGCCCTAGGCCGTGGGGAGCGGCTGGCTTGTTCACAGAGGTTCTGAGGAGTCTGAACGTGGGCAGCAGACCAGGAGCACTTTTAAGGACTTTGTAGGACACACGGGTAATTACAGCCTGGCTTTGTGGGGCAGCCCTGGGCGGGCTGGGCAGCTCTGCCTGACCTGCTGTTGGCCTGCGTGCCGAGCAGGGCCGTGAGGCTCCTCCTGCTGGTGTCCGGCTGCCTGGCACAGAGCCCCGCAGGTGCACCGTCCTGAAGGGCACGCTGTAATCACAGTGCTGTGATGTGGCAGGATTGCGCCACTCCAGGACACGCCAGTGTCAGCTACCCACCGGGTGTCGCAAGAACGGGATCTGTGAGTCCAGTGGCACTTTTGCAGCGACTGGCCACCACTCCCTCCCAGACTTTCTGTGCCCTGAAATGAAGGGTCTTTAGGACAGCCATCACCCAGGGAGAGGGCAGTCTCTGGGGTCTCTGGAAGAAAGGGGCAGAGCAGCCAGGGGCTGGTGCCAGCACAGTGCCCACGCAGGTTGCCCTGAGCTCGGCTCTCCTCGGCCATCCTCAGCCACCCCACTAGGATTCTGTAGGGTCTTCGCTACAGGAGGCAGGTGCTGGGCTAGCCTCGCAGACAGACCTGCAGAAGCCATGTCTGACTTTGCTCAGACTTGACCAGAGATTTGGTCAATAATTTTTTTTTCCTTTTTTTGGTTAGTGATTATTTTCATATAGATTCATGACAAATTTCATAGAAGGAAAAACAGCTTGTGTGTGG